CAACAACTGTGGTTTGTTTAACTTTCTCATCTTTTGGGAAAGTTACGGTTTGTTAAAAACAAACAGACAAAAAGGAACTTCTAGCATTTGATACCCTTTCCAGTTTTGCCAAACCCTGAGCGTCACACTGTCACATCCCTGATGACCACCACGGCAGTAAATCAGTTCAGTCGGTTGTGGACGCGTGCACAAACCTCTTATTTATCGTGACTCGTTCGGCGTGCGGAGCGAGCTGTTCTTCGATGGCGTTGGCGAAAGCAGTGGGAGTGATGTGATTGGCAGGAGCTTCCATGAGGAGTCGGGCCAGATTTTGGCCTTCTGCATACACAACTCCTTTCCTCCAGCTGTCTGTGTCAGCGCTGGCAACACAAATAAAACAAACAAACTGTTAGTTCATGTTGTTTGTTATTATTTACCACAGTGTTAAAAGCTTGGAGAGGCCAGCAGGTACCGACCTTCTGTGCAGTTGTGTCGACACTTTGGTCTTCTTCTTGGACTTGAGTTGATCATAATGAAACAAACTCAGAGCGGCGCCTTCTGCCGCTGACTGAGCGTCACCACAGCCATCCACCTCAATGCAATTCACCTCTAGTTCCTGAAGCAACTGGCAGCCAGCTGAACGCAAAAAACACACAGACAAGCCTCAAATATCAACTCAAGGTACAAAGTCTGCTAGAAGAGGATGGTTGGTAACTCACCGGACACCGCCTGCCTGATGTTCTCCTTCCTGGTGTCCCAGTTTTCAGACCCRCAAACACCTGTGGTGGTCTTGCCCAATCCGACCACTGCCACACACGGGAAGTCCTGAAGACGACATGAGGAAGATTACTCTGTTGTGATGAAACTCAAATATTAACATTAACACCACAACTTGTTACCTGGTGAATTCCATAAAATATCCTGCTTTTGCCTTTCTTCAGCCCAGGTCTGGCTCTGGAGAAAAAGTAAAAATACATTTTAAAGGCCTAGCATTCCTTAAAGGATTGCATATCGCCCACCACCCTTCATGCGTTCTAAAGTGCGAAAAGAAAAGACAAAAGCTGACAACTGATAAAATGTTTGATTTGTGTTGTCATCATATCATATCAAGTCACGTCAGTTTTCTCATCAAATGCAAATAGAAAGGATGAAGAAAATGTACCTTTTTGATACTTGTCATAAACAAATGAAAATAAAAAAATGTTAAACAAAGACTGTCATTTCAGTCTTGATTTAAGTGTTATTCATTCATGGAGCATTTTTATTTGATTTTAAAGTTTTCATGAACATAAATAAAGCCATCACAAGTCAGTATATAATGATTAAGACTCGTCTAAAGGTTTATAAAAAACATAAATAAAAAAAGAAGAAACTGACAAAAAAATTACTGTATTGGGAAGAATCTACTAAAACTACTGTGATTGTTTTTACTTAGCAAAAGAGAATGGAAGCAGTGGTCAAGACATTGAACATGACTAATGGCATATTAAACTTGTAAGTTTTATAAACAATACATCTATTATATTGTAAGAAAATTTGTATTCAATAAACTGAAGTTGAGATGATAAACACAAATGTTRAATAAAGTGATTTGTAGAAGGAATRAAACCATACAACACCAGTCTGGAATCTGAGTGAAGGTTTATTGTCGCTGAAGCAGACAGGAAACCCACTCTGCCCATAAAACCGGAAGTTCATGTATTTATACAGTTTATTCAATGCCTTCACTCGCCCCCTGTCGACCTATGGCTGAGTCACAGGCATTCAGACACAATTCTCATCTAATGTCCTTATAAACATTTTATTGTGTTGTAAAAGATGTTTCAGACATGTAACTAGACCTATTTCAATCAAGACATAATAGATTAAACGCTGTCAATATTTCAAAAAGGAGAACTTAAGAATATAATGTTGTGCTTCTAACATCAGTACTAACCTCCCTAACTCTAAATTTCTTCACAATATATTTACGACAAAAATGTCAATCACAGCTGAGAATAAACAGAGCCCTCCTAACGGCATATTTCAACAAAATGAGCGTCTACTTTTGCTCTGTTTCTTTAAAATAACTAAAGCATGTTAAGAAAAAAAATCTGATTTCAAGACCACCCAATTGTTCAATTAAGGGACTATATACTGTATATATATACTGTATATATATATATATATATATCATAACTTATACCTAACTTGTGCAACTTACAGCAGCTTGTAGGACAAAATGTGCATAAGTTGTCTAAAACATCATATCTGCTGCCTTGAAAGTAAAAAGCTGAAAACCTTTTTAAATTCTGTTTTGAATAATCATAATAGTTGAAAACACACAAAACAATAAACTGCAATACACCTGCACCTGGGTTTTTCTCTTYTTTCTGGGATACCCCCCTAGATGATTTATTACATTTCCCTCCTGCCCTGGCCTACAGTATGTCTCCAGTTTCTCATCCTTCCGCCCATTAAAGGTTATCTCCTCATTGCTCACTTCTGAATGTATCTGCCTCTAATCAAACAGACTGCAACTCTACTGTATCACGTGTGTGCGTGTGCTTCTCTGTGTGTCGTTGTTGCCCACCTTTTAGCRTCTGTCATTCATTTGGAATAGATGACAAACACTGATGATAATGACTCAAACCACAAGAATATTTCCCTGAGTTTGTCTCTTTATTTCCTGAATCTACTTCTGCTTATTTCCTTCTACCTTTTCCTGCC